CCATCTCAAAATGAGTGAAATGAACAAATTAGGGAGAAGGGTGATGAATAATGGGAGGTGTGGAGCTGGTTTTGACCATTCCTGGGCACACGATAGTCAACTGTTTGGATCAGTGAGCTGAATCAGAATTGCAGTCCTTCATTCTTAGAATCATAGAATCATAGAATGTTTAGGGTTGGAAGGGACCACTAGTGGTCATCTAGTCCAACCCCCCTGCAGTGAGCAGGGACACTGCTAACTAGATCAGGCTGCTCAGAGCCCCATCCAACCTGGCCTTGAATGTTCCCAGGGATGGGGCCTCCACTACCTCTCTGGGCAACCTGTTCCAGTGTTTTACCACCCTCATTGTGAAAAATTTCTTCCTTACCTCTAGCCTGAACCTACCCTGTTCTAGTTTAAAACCATTTCCCCTTGTCCTAACACAGCTGGCCCTACTAAAAAGACGTTCCACATCTTTCCTATAGGCCCCCTTTAGGTACTGGAAGGCCGCAATCAGGTCTCCCCGTAGCCTCCTTTTCTCCGGACTGAAGAAGCCCAACTCTCTGAGCCTGTCCTCATAGGAGAGGTGCTCCAGCCCTCGGATCATTTTTGTAGCCCTCCTCTGGACCCGTTCCAACAGCTCCATGTCGTTCTTGTGCTGAGGGCTCCAGAGCTGGACGCAGGGCTCCAGGTGCGGTCTCACCAGAGCTGAGTAGAGGGGCCTTTGATCTCCTCTGAAAGCAGTGTATTCTTTTAGCCATAATAATACATGGGGGCGGGGGAGGATTTTTTCTTTCCTGTATTTCCCTCTCAAACCCAATGGATGTGGAGCAGTGGCACAGAGGCCGCAATGAAGGACACCTCAAATGTAATTTGAAGTTACATGAATATAATATGAATGCAAATGTAATATTAATGTAATATGGATTTAAAAGGCAGCAGGATGTTGGCATAATGTTGCTGACTCTTCTAATTTTATCAGAAGTCTCCTGATCTGTGCTGAACTGTCTTTTACCTTTCTGCTCCGTGGCCATGCTTTAGCGTTTCGGTGTTTTATTATTTGTAGCGCGGGAGATGATAGAAGCCGCAGTCGTGGCCCAGAGCCCTGTCGTACAGCGGCTGTGCATGGCAGAGCAAGGGGGACGCTCCATGCCCCACGACTGGGAACTCGAGGTGTGCGGACGGGGAGCAGCTCTCCTTGTGCGGGGAAAGCCACAGCACACCCAGCGTGAGTGCTGCTGCTCTGCTTAGAAAAGGTAATCATAGGATCATTGAATGCTTTGGGTGGGAAGGGACCCCAGAGATCACCCAGCCCAACCCCCCTGCAGGAGCAGGGACACCTTGAACCACATCAGGTTGCTCACAGCCCCGTCCAACCTGGCCTGGAATGTTCCCAGGGATGGGGCCTCCACCCCCTCTCTGGGCAACCCCTGCCAGGGTTTCACCACCCTCACTGGAAAGAATTTCTTCCTTAGATCCAGCCTAACCCTACCCTGCTTCAGTTTAAAACCATCCCTCCTTGTCCTGTCACGGCTGGCCCTGCTAAAAAGATTGTCCCCATACTAAAAAGATTGTCCCCATACTAAAAAGACTGTCCCCATTATAGACATAATTATAATAATAATTGAGAATCAGCAGATTCTTCTATGGTCGGAGTGTGGCACGTGGAACTGACTCTCTAACAAGGGCATCTTCATCCTTGCCGGAGGGACGGTTTGCTCCATGGGAAGAGCAGCCTGGACTGCTGGTATGGAGGGAAGGGTGGGTTTGATTTGTTCCTTCTAAGCAGTAAACAGCATCTTCAGCGTTGCAAAGCGCCGGCTGTGTCATGGTATGGGGAGGCTGCCAAACGGTTCTCCTGAGCTGTAGGCAAGCAAAGCCCAGGCAGGTGGGTATAGCAGGCTGACAAAATGCGACCATAGCTGAGTGCTGCACATATGTCCAGTCCTTGTGCCAGGCCTGGAAATAACCAGTGCTTCGGGAGCAATGTTTGCTGGCCTCGCGAAACGGCCGAGAGCAGGGATGCGTTGGTCTTTAACCCTGCTGTTGGTCTTGTCCCTGCTCCCTGCAGGGGGGTTGGGCTGGGTGACCTCTAGGGGTCCCTTCCAACCCAAACCATTCTGTGATTCTATGGTGATTCTATAACCAGTATCTACCCGTGCAGGAGAGGGGAGAGGGCAAGCTGATCAGACGTCGGGACTCGGTGCGTGGTGGCTCAAGGAGCAGAACTCAACGGGGAGGGATCTGCTAGGGCTGCTGGGCCACCCCTCCCTGGCTGGCAGGGGGCGCTTTTGGCTCTTGTGCCCACTTGGTTGGTCTTGAGCGGCCCCGCCAAGCTGTTGTCTCTGCTGATCCGATGCTCTTCCCGACCACCGCTAGACTTGTGAGCACACCAGTAATGCAGGGAACACCCTCCGTTTCCCACACGAACTCTTCTGCCAGTGCTGGTGCTCGGCAGAGAGGCTCCGCCGAGGGCAGACTTCTTAAACTCTTGCTGAAGAGGTTAATCCAGGCCGAGCGCACTGGAAAATGATCTAAATATAGTAGGCTGAGATGGACGGGGGCAACACAAGGTAGCTGGGAATATCAGGCTTAGTCATTACAGCCTGATATAATTATTCTCTTCCTCATTTAGCTGAGCTGGCACTGTCCTGTTCAGGGTCCTTTGCTTGAGTCTCATTTTCTTCTGCCTCTGGAGAGCGAGGGTCAGAAATCTGAATTATTAGCAGGCTCATATCAATTCTTGGCATCGCGCAGTGGTTGGTACCACACCAGGCTGTGTCCGCTGGGAGCCCTAAGGGTGGTGGTGGGGGTCTGCGGGGGTGCCGGAGCAACGCACCCCAGGGATCCTCCATGCGCCTGGCGTGGGTGTTGGGGTCACAAACCGATCAGGGAACCAGCAGCCTGGCGCGAGAAGGAGGCAATGGACACACAGAGCCCTGAAAGGGGAGCTGCGGTTTTGGGGAGGGGGCTACAGCTGTGGCGCGGGACCCGGGGAGAGCGCACGGATGTTATCCCGGCAGGACAGGGCTCTTCTCCATGGGAAACGGGGCTGGGAGCTCAACGGCGTTGACTCCCGTTGGGCTCAGCTCTAATTGTTCTGCACGTCGCTTGTGATTTAAGACTTCAGTCAGGACTGGTAACAGACGATAGGATGAGGTGGAATGGGTTGAAGTTGCACCAGGGCAGGTTTAGGTTGGACATTAGGAAAAATTTCTTCACTGAAAGGGCTGTCAGGCTCTGGAATGGGCTGCCCAGGGAGGTGGTCGAGTCCTCATCCCTGGAGGGATTTAAAAGAAGGACAGATGAGGTGCTTAGGGCCAGGGTTTAGTGGTGGAATGGCAGGGTTAGGTTAAAGGTTGGACTCGATGATCTTAAAGGTCTTTTCCAACCTAAACAATTCTATGATTCTATGACTTCAAGGTGTACCCACTCTCGCCCAAGGGGAGCAGCGTGCCGGCGAGCAGGGACACTGAAACACCGGGTCCTGAGAGCTCACCAGAATTACATTTCATCTCTTCCGCTGATTTGTTTATGGTCCTTCATCTGGCAGCAGGGCTGTTACTCAACTTGCTTGTCCTATCGATCCACTCTCTGAAAATCTTAATAGCTGTGAATTTCACAGTTCAGAAATAAAGAAGATCGTAGGGCCGGGGACGTGCTTTGGAGACCTGTTGGAACAGAGCTGTGATTTGTACATGTGGTATTAGCAGCAGCGTTGCTGTTTTCTGGTGTGTACAACGTGTAAAACAGCGTAACGTCCCGTAGTGGAGGTTGCACGTACAAGGAAATCACGGCAGGGGTTCTGCTTGAACTTAACCGCTGGTCCAAATCCTGATCCCTCTGACAGCAGCAGGATTTTGCTATCGACTTTGAAAGGAAATAGCACTGCTTCTCCTCCTTAATTTTAATGGTTTAATTAAGGCTTCTCATTTGCATAATGAGCGCGATAATACATTTAGAAAGACGTATCATAAAAAAAGGAACAATATTGCGGAGTTCATTTGGAAATTGAAACAAAAATAACCGGAATGCAAATGAGTTTGCAAAGGTTTCCGTCGGGGCGTTGCTAGGTGTTAATAAAGCCCGTGGCAATCTCTTCTGGCGCTGAATACGTGGGTGCTGAGCAAGCAAAAGAGCGTTCTGCACCGTGAAAATACTGGGCTGCGGCCTCGGTCCTCCCAGCTTAGGGGTGCGCAAGGGTCCCGGGCTGCTGGGATGGCAGCGGCTCTGAGCAGACCCCGGGGTGCAGGCAGTGATGCTCACCTGGTTTCTCTTTCTGGCTCTTGCAGCCCCCCCCACTGTGCGGATCGTGCACTCGGGCCTGGCGTGCAACATCGAGGAGGAACGCTACTCGGAGAGGGTCTACACCATCCGTGAGGGCGAGACGCTGGAGTTGACCTGCCTGGTCACCGGCCATCCTCGGCCACAGGTGAGCCCCCGCCGTGCCCGCTGGCAGCCTGCCGCTGGCCACCGCGCCTTCCCTCGGCCCCCTGAGCCTCTGCAGGTTGGGTTCATCTTCTGCTAAGGGCTAGGCTGGTGTGGGGTGGTAGAGATTGACGCAATGGGATCTGAAGGGGGGGAATAGGTCCAGGCTTTGGTTTGATATCAGGGTGTTGCAGAAGAAACATCAACAGAAGAGGTTTGTGACTTTTTTTGAATGACTGGTTAGGAACGTGGCATTAAACCCATCAAGTCATCGAATCATAGAATTGTTTAGGTTGAAAAAGCCCTTTAAGATCATCAAGCCCAACCGTTCCCCTAACCCTGCCATCCCACCACTAAACCCTGTCCCTAAGTTTGTGTTGGACTGTAACATGGGGTCCTGAGCTGAGAGTTTGAGACCCACAGAGGTTGGTAGAAGGAAATGAAAAACAAACACGAGGACAGGGGCAGCTGGATATAGTCAGTATGCACCAGAGTGAACAGCTGGAGTGGGGGCACACGAAAGCTTGAGGGCATCTCGCTGTGCTCCTGGGTCTTGGATGTCATTCAGCTTGTTCAGCCTGGAGAAGAGAAGGCTGAGAGGGGATCTCATCAACACCGACAAATATCTCAAGGGTGGGGGTCACGAGGACGGTGCCAGACTCTTCCCAGTGGTGCCCAGCGCCAGGACAAGGGGCCATGGGCACAACCTGAAGCAGAAGAGGTTCCAG